TCGGATCCAGGGGGACTCACGCCTGGTAGGGGCAGCTGGGGTGGGCTCTGCAGCAGAGGGAGGCTGGAATGGAGTCTTGGGGGTTGTTGGGGGGGGGTTCAGTACAAGCTGGGGTGGGGGCTTTGTGGTGCAGAGAGTGAGGAAGCCCAGGCAGGTGAGGTGCGGGGCTGGGCCCCCTTGGCTGCCGACCTGAGACCAGACTGAGAAGGTGACCCCCAGTCCACAGACGGCCTTGGTGGGGGCCCTTAGGGTCTGTCTGGTGACAGGCTGGGGGCAGGGAGGCTAGCGCTGAAGAGGGCACTGAGGCTCGGGGGAGGGCTGGGGTCCGAGGAGCTTCCCACCTACCAGCAGCCCATCTCTGAAAAGGAGTTCCTTCCCGTCTGAACGGTCATGGAAGGGAGACATGGCATCAGATTTTCCACTTAAACACCTGTTTAGTGAGCTGCTGCGGGTTACTGGGTGCTTGGAACGGCCCATAATTTCATCAAGTGGTAGAGATCACACTGAGAAGACGTTCCCGGGGAGGCTGCCGGGCGTAAGGCCTCCTCCGTCTGCCCGGGGGTGCCATCACTCCTGCTCCACGGAGATCGAAGATCTAAACGTCAGGGCCGGGGGTCCCAGTACTCTGTCTCCCCAGACCTGAGGCCGCAGCGAGAGGCTTAAGAACACCGGCTCTGGCATTGGCTAAGCCTGGCTCAAATCCTGGCTCGAGACCCCATTTCACAGGTGAGCAATGGAGGCCCAGAGGGACTTGGCTAGGGTCACTTGGGATCAGATTTGAACTGGCCTCTCTGTCTAGCTTCCCGCCTCCTTGGCTAGTGACACGGTCGTGGCCAGGAGGATCTCAGGAGCCAAGGGTACACCTGCTTATAAACTGTGAAGTGCCCAGGGGAAGGGAAGGGGCTGCAGCCCACCTGCTGCTCAGGCAGCGATGCTCCCGTGGGCTGACCGTGTGTCCGGACGTCGTGATGGGGAGGCCTGGAACCCCCACTCGGTCCCCTACGGGGCAGGGACTGGACCAGAAAGTCGCTGCCATTTCATTATTTCAGGGCCTGGAATATTACTATTCATGACAGCAAGCTTAAAAATGAAATAATAAGTCTGTCCTTTTAAAAAGCAAATTGTGACCCTGGAATATTCATGAGCCGTGACTTCCCGGGAAACGCAGCAGCAGCGTGGGGATTAGCATTCGGTTAAGTCAGCAGCCCAGGAATTTAGGGAAATGCACTTGTCACTCTGAGGAAACGAGTGATTAATACTTTTCCTGTTTGTGGGGCCCCTAACGGGTGAATTTTTAATGCAATGATTAATTAACCTTGGGACCACTCCTATCTGCCGGCTCCCGAGGCTTCGGTCCTCGAGGATGGGGTGCGCCCGGCTCGCACGCACCCAGTGGGGTGGGTGCCCATGACCTCTTGTCTGGGGCCTGAGTAGGGTGTCCCCCGAGTCCACGCCCCACCCAGACCTCAGCCTGGCTTTACTTGGCCACAGCGTCTTTGCAGATGTGATCGGTTAGGGATCTGGGGATGAGGTCACCCTGGATTTACAGAGGGCCCTGCATCCCGTGACAGGTGTCTTCTAGGAGGAGAGACAGGGCATGGGGTGGAGAGGGAAATCTGGGACACAGGGAGCAGGCCTAGGGAAGAGTGAGCAGCAACAAGTTTGGGGTGTTTCTACGCGGAAGGACACCAACGGCAGGCTGGGGACAGACTCCCCACAGAGGGGACGAGCCCTACCCCTACCTGCGGCCTCCAGAGCTGGATGAGAGTAGATTCTCGGTGCCGGAAGTCCCCTGCTTTGTGGAACACTCCCACACTTGGCGACCTTGGGGGTTGGTGCCAGACGGAGGGCAGCTAAGCGTGGCGCTGTCTCCTGGGAATCAGGAGCCCCCCCGCCCCGACCTAAGCAGCGGGTGCTAGGTGCGGGCTTTTGCGTGAACAGGTTAAATGACGAGATGCCTGCCCATCCGGTCTCTGGGCCTGGGTCTCCCACCGTAAGGTGTTGACCCAGAGCTGTGGTTTTCAAACTGGGCTCCTCAGGGCACCCACAAGGGTGACAGGGTTGTTGCTTCTTTTTGGGTGCCTCAGTTTCCCCCTCAACCACCTCCTCCTTCCTCTTGCCGTCTGGAGGAGAGCTCTTAGGCATCCTTTATGGCCCGTCCCCATGACCCTCGCAGCGGGTGCTTGCTGGGCCCAACAGGGCTCCCTGCAGGGGCGCTGAGAGGACTCCAGCTGGGTCCTGCCTGCGGGTCACCTGGGAGCCCGCTGGACTGCGGCTCGTCCCCGCCCTCTAGCGGTCGCCCAGAGACACCGCTGGGCAGCCGCTGTTGGAGGCTTTGGGTCCCTACAGGATGGGCTGCCCTGGGGGCCAGGAGCTCCAGGATGGACGCCTCTCTCAGCCAGACTTGGAGTCCCCTTAGCCAGGAGACCCTCTCCAGCCTTTATGGCCTAGCCGCTGTCTGCTGGGGGCCCAGGAGCTGAGTCCCAGCGAGAGTCAGAGGGTGTGGGGACACCACGGGGAGGGAGCTCACCCTCTTGGCACCAGCCAGGGCAGCTTGGGCTCTTCCCGGGCACTCTTGCTGCTGGGACGGGAGCAAAGCTGGCTCTGCTGCATTCAGGGACACCCTCGGCTCGTGCCGAAGCCCCGTTGGGTCCTGGGCCTGCCACGTTCAGACCAACTGGTCCTTGGTCCTGAGAGCGCCTCCCTGAGCGGGTGGCCAGCTCACTTGTGCTGTGCTGCTGCGCTGCCGGCACCTGCAGGGGCGCCCAGCACACAGTCGGTACTGAACAGACACAGGTGGGGGCGAGGCAGGCGCACCAGGCAGCTCTTGCAGCCAGAGGCTGTGTCAGGTGCACAGTGTGCTTTAGGGACCAGCCTCTGTTGGGGGGCAGGGGAGGCAGGGGTTTGACATGGGAAGCTCAGCTGGCTGTGGCCAGGCCGGTGGGGAGCTCTAGGGCCGGGGAGAGGCTGGGTCCTCATACGCCACGGCTCAGCCGCTGGAGAAGCGGGAGCTATGACCCCGCAAAGCAGGGGGGCAGTCCTCCCTCTGCACGTCCACACGTGTCCTAATCCTCACCTAGAAGAGGAAACAGCTCGGTGCCTTCAACTGCCTTCCGGCCTGGTCCCCTCGGACGCCCCGCACATCCACCCCTGCACATGGAGAGCAGAGCTCAGCATCTGCCCATGCCACCTTCTCCTCCTCCCCTTGGGGGGCGGCACCACTGTGCACCTTGTCAGCACGCTGGAGGCACTCACGGCACCCTGGATTTTGCTCTCGCCTCACCTGCCCTCCTCCGTCAGACCTATTCCCACACTGGGCCGCGTCTCCTGCCCACATGCCACTTTCTTCACTGTCTTGGTTCAGGCCCTACGCATCCCACTGTGGAAGGGTGCAGGAGCTTCCTGGCTTTCTGCTGCGTCCAGGCTGCCTCCTGTCCTCCTCCCTACCTCCATCAGAGACCCCACCACCCACACGCAGCTCCCACGGCCTCCGGTGAGGTCCACGTGCTGTACTGCGGCTTCCCGTGTCCTCGCCCACCTCCCCCTCCCTGCCAGTCTCCCAGCCATGCTGAGACTGTCCCCTCTCCCCCACGCCATTGCTCCATCATTCTCCACTTCTCATCCTCAGCCCTTCTATGTCACTGGGTCCCATAAGCGCCCCTGGTGCCCCCCTCCTCTCTGGCTCTGCTTGCTCGGGCATCCCTGTCCCATAAGACCATGTCTTACGTCTTCCTAGGGCAGAATTCCCGTCTCCGGCCTTAATCATGCCTGTACAGTGCGGGGTGACTAGCGGAGGGTTTGACTCATGGAAGAATTACTGAACACCACTCTGGACAGATGAGGTTCGGGCATGGTCAGGATGATTCTAGGGGAGAGTGAGGGCATGTGTACAAAGCAGCTTGGGGACAGTAAGTGGCCGAATGGGACAGACGCTGGGACCACCTTCCCATCTAGACCGCCCCCTCCTAGAGCAGGTGCCCTATTCGTCTCTGCTCGGTAAAGGAGTTTTGGATGAATGAAAGGAGTGAGTGGTGGCAGATCAGTCACCTGGTCTAGGTCTGGCCCCAAGGGCTCCTTCCACGTCCGTCATCCTCCCAGGAAGTGCGTACAGAGTCCCCCGGTCAGGGGCCACAGCTGTCGGCTAACGCTCTGCCCCCTGAGGTTCGGGTGAGGCCCGGGACCCGCCTTCCTAACCAGTTCCCAAGTGCCGCTGTCGCGGGGCTGGGGACCGACTTGGGGACGTCGCTCCAGAGCCTGCGGTCGGAGGCGCACAGCAGCGGTCATGGGTTTAACTACTGCCCCCGCAGGGGCCTTGTCAAGCGGTAGAAGCAGCAGCGGAGGTCACCTGGGCTGTTACTTCAAGATGTGAGCAATGTGGGCCCCGGGGCGCGTCTACCCTGCGTTCGGGTCCCGGGACCCGGCCGCAGGTCCGCCTTCCTGCTGGGGGTCGGGGGGGTGGGGGGTTTGAGCTTGCTTCTCCGCGGCCAGACCCTGCCCTGCGTGCGCGCGCTCCCCGGCCTGACCCTCCCCTGCGTGCGCCTGTTTCCCCGGCCTGACCCTCCCCTGCGTGCGCCCGTTTCCCCCACCTGACCCTCCCCTGCATGTGCGCGCTCTGTCCGAGAAATAAAATCCTTTAAAACGATGTCGTCTGTGTAAAGACAGGGTGGAGTGTCTTTCACTGCTCTTCCCTCCGCAGTCCTGGGGACTGGCTGTGTACTCTATACCGAGAGCCCATCTCAGAAAGGACCACCGGACTCAAGGGTCGCGCGGGCCACGGCCGAAAGCGACAAAGCGCAGGCCGGTGCGGGAGAGACCTAGCAGCGCCAGAACGACAGCTCCCGGCATGCCCCGGGGGCGCCCTGTGACGTACTTCCGGCGCGGGGGGCGCGCGCCGAGGCCGCAGGAGAACAACATTTCCCGGCATGCTCCGGGCGCACGCTGTGACGCACTTCCGTCGCGGCGCAGCCAGCGCGCCCCCGGCGGCCCGGCGGCGGGAGCGAGGCGACCGCTGGGCCCGCGGCAAGTGACGGGCGGCCGGCCGAGGGGAGCCGGGGCGGGGCGGCGGCGGCCAGCGAGCGAACGCGCGGGCGGCCTGGCCCCGCCCCGGTGACCTTCACGGCCTGGGCGGCGGGCGCAGGCCGGGCGGCGGCGGCGGCGGCGGCGCGATGTTCGTGCAGGAGGAGAAGATCTTCGCGGGCAAGGTGCTGCGGCTGCACATCTGCGCGTCCGACGGCGCCGAGTGGCTGGAGGAGGCGACCGAGGACACGGAGGTGGAGAAGCTCAAGGAGCGCTGCCTCAAGCACGTAAGGCCGCCGCGGCCCCCGTCCCCCGTCCCCCGGCCCCCGGCCCCCGCCTGGTCGCCCCCTCCCCGCCGCCCCCTCCCCGCCCTCCGGACGCGCTCCCGCCCGGCGCCGGTCGTTGAACTCTCGCGGCAGCCCGAGGAGCTGGGGGCAGGAGGGAAACTGAGGCAGGAGACGCGGCGTCGCCGCGCCCGGCAGGCCCTCCTGGTTTCCCGGCAGCTGGGCTTGCTTGCCCTTGGGGTGAGGCCCCAGGAGCGGGGAGCGGTGCCCGGGGAAGGAGGGGCGCGCCGTGGAGACGTCCCTTCCCTTCCCTGCGGGCGGGCCTGTGGGTCAGGGCCCGGCTCTGGCCGCTCGTGCCGCCGAACCGGCGCGGGCCGGGCTGCCCCTGAGCCCTGCTTGCCCGAGGCCTTTACACTGACTCGTGGGCAGGGCCCGGGGCAGGACCGCGGCGCTGGGAGACGCAGTGTTCACGGCTCAGTCGCGGGCGGGCTCCTGGCCCGGCGGGCTCCTCGGGTTGCTCACGTCTGGAACGAGTCCTGGGCGGCTTTCCCTCTGCGCGCCTCCCCTCCGCCGGCCGCCTGCCCCGCTCTGGCCGTCCGGGAAACGGTGCTGGGCAGGACGGAGCGCTGTTCGAGCGGAGCTCAGCCCTTCTGTGCGATGGCCCTGCGGAGCGACATGCCCACGGCCGCGGAGCTCTGGGTTGTCTGCGTAACCGCTCAGGAGGCACTTTTCAGTCCCTGTACGGCTGCCCTGTAACTGTCCAGGGCAGGCCAGGGAGCTCTCTGGTTACCAGTGAGCCCTCTTCTGGAACATGCTGGACGTCGGTGACTCTCACCGAGGAGGAGGGGGCTCTGGGCTGGCAGCCGCGGGCAAGCATGCCGTCCTTTCTTCTGTGGGGTGCTTTCGCCATGAACCCAAGCATGGCACTCGGCCAGCAGGCTGGGGGCCCCCGGACCGTCGGCTGTGAGAGCTGGCACCGTGTTTGTGTAGTGCTGTGCATTTTAACAACAGCCTCTCTGAGATGCTGTGTCCCCTCCCCGGCAGCCCACCAAAGACAGCAGCTCCCTGAGGGCTGGGCCTGTGTTCTCAGGTCCAGGGCCAGGCTCCCAGTGCGCCCCAAACAAGCGTGTGGATTAATGGGGCACGTGGGGAGGATTGAGAGTCCAGGACTGCGTTTACATGGCAGGCCACCTGCCGAGTCAGGGAGGGAGAAGTCGGGGGTTAATGGGGATGGCATTCAGCTTAACTCACTACGTAGCCATCCTAATACTGTTTTGTGAAGGGGACCCGGAAACGGGAGCTGATGGATCTCTGGAGCTCTTGGGGGTCATTAGGCAGCCAGTTTGAGTAAGATGCTAATTATTATGTACCTGATATTAATTATTCCAGCCGGGAGTGAGGTGTGTCGTTTGGGGTTTTTCTGGCACTCTCCTACTTTGAACTGAGATTTCATGCCATTCTGCGGTCTCTCCCGGGGTGGAGGAACGGCACAGATCACGGGACCCAGGAGCTAAGTCGTCAGAAAGTCCTCCCACCTCGGAGCCCATCCTGTTCCGTAGGCAGGGCGTGCTGCTTCTCGAACCAGGCAGGACGCGTTACTTAGGAGAGAGCGTTCTCAAGTTGTAGCCTCGAATGTCCCCCGAAACTGTTCCTGAATGTCCTGTCGCTGTGGGCAGCGAGGCTCGGCCTGTGCTTGAGCGTCTGTCTCCTTCCCACTGTGCTCCCGTGCAGGCTCAGGCAGAGCCCTGCCCGTGGAGGGGACAGTGTGGGTGTCTCCCCACCCCCACGGTGCTGTTGGGAGTGTGGTGCTTTCTCATTGAGGGCATCGTCATCAGAACTCTTGGAGAAGGGCGCCTGGGTGGCTCAGTGGGTTAAGCCGCTGCCTTCGGCTCAGGTCATGATCTCAGGGTCCTGGGATCGAGTCCTGCGTCAGGCTCCTTGCTCGGCAGGGAGACTGCTTCCCCCGGTGCCTCTGTCTGCCTCTCTGCCTACTTGTGTGTGCACGCTCTCTATCTCTCTTACAAATAAATAAATAAAATCTTAAAAAAAAAAAAAACTGCTTTCTCTAGGGGAGCTGGGGTGCTACTCTTGCTTTGCTCTTTTTGGGGTTTTATGTTGATTGAGATCTTTCGTGAAATTGCCACAACATGATACAGTTCCTGTCCATACGGCTGTTAATGTTTATTCTTTCTTTCTTTCTTTTTTTCTCTCTTTCTTTCTTTCTTTCTTTCTTTTTTTCTTTTAAGATTTTATTTATTTGAGAGAGAGCAAGTGCACGGGCAGGGAGGAGGGGCAGAGGCAGAGGGAGAAGCAGACTCCTCTCCAGCAGGGAGCCCGCTGCGGGGCTCGATCCCAGGACCCCAGGATCATGACCTGAGCCACCCAGGCGCCCCAAGCTGTTCGTGTTTCTTAGGTCACATGATAGTGCGTCTTGGGACAACACAGGATGTCAGGTGTGGGAGTCCCCTCTTGGCTCTCCTGGGGAGGAGTCAGGCTCAGGAGGTGTCACGGCCTCCCTGCCCGGGCATTGGGTTCTTGTGGGGCTCTCTGGCTGCCCTAGCTCGCTTGCTCCGAGGGCTTCTGCTGAGCACAAAGACCCAGAGTGAAGTAATCGTGCAGTACGGGTGACTCAGCCTGTGTTGTGCCCCTGGCACGCTGCTGGCGTGCCTCACGCTGGTGGTGTCAGGAGCCAGATGAGGATGGTTTTGGAAAATGTTGTTTCCTAGACTGTATTCTGAACGTGTCGAATCCACTAGCCTGCAGATTTCAGGGTTAGAAGAAGCACACCCAGTATTTCTGGGAGCAGAGCCAGTGTTGAATTCAAGGCGAGCGAGGGGGTTGGTGTCTGCTGTCGTAAGTGGTAGGAGTACCTTTTCCTATGGGCTGGGCTCCACCCCCGCCCCCTTCAGCCCGGTCAGTTTATGTGAATGTGCGTCAGTGCCCCGAAGCCTTCACGTCCCGGGTGTCACTGCAGCCCCCTCAGGCCTGGATGTCCGCACCCCCCGCCCCAGTGCTGCGTTCTGGGGTCCCTGGGGTCCTGTGAGCTGTAGCTGTGTGCCGGTCCACCCCCTTTGAATGCCCAGGAGGGGCCTGCCAGCGGCTCCCGCAGCTTCAAGGTCCATGTGGTGGTCACTTGGTGAACCAAGGGCCACATGGAGGCTGGTTGCCCTCGGGCTCGTGCAGGTGCTGAAGCGGTCCGGACCCTATTTCTGGCTCTCGTGGACCAGCTTCTCTCTCTGCTTTCTCTCAGCCCCTTCACCTATCTGGAAGAGAGAAAAAGTGCACAAGTCGTACCTCCATCTTTCAGGGAACAGTGGCCCTGCTCTTTTCATTTTTAGTTGACTCTCTGGATCCTTCCAGACGAAGGAGGCGGTTCAGGTCGCTTCTAGCAGTGAGGTGTTCTGTGTCAGGCTGGGCGCCTATTTCAGGTCGACTTAGCTGGTCGGTGCACGGATCGCTGCCCGGAGGGATCAGATGTTACGGCATTTCGTCCGCCTTCCACCGTCCGTGGGGGTCTTTGACTTGGTGTGTGCCTTCACCTTCTAGCTGGTAACCAGTAGACGCCTGTGTGGCTCAGGGTGTCAGGTCCTAGTATCGGTACGGTTATGATTTATTCTGTCTTTAAATATGTGACCCCCCCCCCAGTGTGCCCATGGGAGCTTGGAAGACCCCAAAAGCGTGGCCCATCACAAACTGATGCACGCTGCTTCGGAGAGGGTGCTGAGTGACGCCAAAACAATCTTGGAGGAGAACGTCCACGACCAAGGTAGGGGCCTCGCGGGGCAGCGGCGGGGGCCTCGGCGCGGCGGGGAGCGGGGGAGCGAGAGGCAAAGGCGCCCTTGGCATCCAAGTCTGTGTTCCAGGCTGGGGCCGAGCAGGGAAACTGGGTCAGCTGAGATGCTTTTATTCTTCCTTTGTTGAAACAAAGTGTGCGTCGTGGGCTGTTTGTGAAAAGCAGCACACACTGAATCGGACCAGCAGCATCCGTGCGAGAGCCGGATTCAACTGCGTTTGTGACTCTGTGTCCGAGCAGGACCAGGGCCTCGGGAGCTGCTGCCGGCTTCCTTCTGGGGCGGGAAAGTCCAGTCACGGCCGTCGTACCCGGCGCCCGCGGAAGACGCTCTGAGTCGCCCACTCCCGTTCCCTTGCTTCGAGTTTGTGTCGGGAGGCACTGGGGAGAAGCTTGCAGCTTTGTGTTTGTCATTCAAACGGTGATTTCAGTTCGGGGATTCTCCTGAACATACTGTTTATAACCCCCGCCGGCGCGGTCCGGCCCACGGCCAGGTGGGAGCCGCCCGCCGTGCGCACGTGGCCTCGGCCCATGGCAGGTGGTTCGCTCTGAGGGTTGGCCCCAGCTCCCAACCTCAGGAGCCCGCGCCTGTGGGAGTGAGGACGTTTTGTGGGATCTCTTCCGGTTGTTTGCACGGTTCTCAGGGCCGTGCTGTGTGTGCCTCCTCGGCCGCCGGCCACCTGTGTGACCCACGGCCAGGTTCTTGCCGCGCCCCTGTGCGCGGGCAGGAAGGCGGGGAGGCACGGACGTGCGTGAGCCTTGGGCCTAGGCGGCACCTGGGGGAGCCCCTGCTCCTCTGGCCGTGGGTCCTCTGGCCCCCGTTTTGCCATCTTATGGAAGAGATCGGTAACCAGCCTGACGGCGTCTTTTCTCCCTAGATGTCTTGTTGTTGATAAAGAAACGTGCTCCGACTCCACTTCCTAAGATGGCTGACGTCTCGGCAGAAGAAAAGGTGAGTTTCCCAGTGTGGAACTGGAAGTCTTGGTTAGTCTCCACCCTCCAGCCTGTGAGAAAGAAACGTTCTGGGAATGAGTCATTCCCAGACCCAGCAGGGCCCGCAGTCAACCGCTGGGGGGTCTCCTGTCGTGGCCGAGCCTCTCCTGGTTGCTCTCCGGTGGCCGGTACGGTCTCAGCGCCCGTGCAATCCTGAGAAGCTGTCAGGCCTGCCTCTCATCGGGCGAGGCCTGTGCCCACAGGACAGGGAGAAGGAGCGCAGGAAGCGGTGGCGGGCGGCGCACTCAGGCCCCTCTCCCCGGAGGGCAGGTGCGTGCGCAGGGAAGGGCCAGGCAGTCCTCACGCCGTGCTCAGCGCAAAGCCGGGCCGTTCCAACGGGCAGCCAGGCTAATTTCACGGTTTTCCTTTGTTTCTCTCGGGTGGAGTTTCTTGTTCGTGCTTTGAAATGCTTGGGAGAGCGCTCCCCCCCGAGAAAGCAGGCCGGGCTCTGTGGGCTGGGCCCTGCGCGGCTAGCGGGCTGAGCTCTCTGAGGGCCTGCTGCGGGTCCGGTGGCCCTGGGCTTCGTGTGCCCTTATCTGTGGCCGCACCTGGCCGGCACCCGCTCACCCACAGGCCAGCAGCTCAGCCCATCTCTAGGAGACAGATCTGGGCCTGCCCCGCCCCGCCCTGAGAGCCGCCCGCGCTTCTCAGGTTATAGTGTTGGCCCTGGGTGACCAGTGTAGACGGCGGGGTTCCCACTGCCCCTGTGCCTCTGAGTGCCTCGCAGCAACCCATGGACCTCACTTGCTGGGTCACCTTTTCTGTGCGCGTATTTTCGAAGTGAAACATACGACGTCACTACCTATTTTTCAGAATTAGTCTTAATTTTAAGTGAAAGTAATATGCGGTTCTGAAGTCAGATCATGTAACTGGTTTCTTTTTTTTTTTTTTTTTAAGATTTTATTTATTTATTTGACAGAAGTTGCAAGTAGGCAGAGAGGCAGGCAGAGAGAGAGAGAGAGAGGAGGAAGCAGGCTCCCCGCCGAGCAGAGAGCCCGATGTGGGGCTTGATCCCAGGACCCTGGGATCATGACCTGAGCTGAAGGCAGAAGCTTTAACCCACTGAGCCACCCAGGCACCCCTGTAACTGGTTTCTTAATAAAAGCATCCTCCTCCCACCAGTGTCACGCGCCCTAAAGGTAACCTCTTGGAGCTCTTTCCCCCATCCCCCCAGTAATTCTTCTGATTTCAAAACCACACGCAGAATTGAGTATTTCTCAGAATATCAGTTTTTGGTTCTTGGGCTCCTTGATGTTTGGAGGATTAGATCCTGACACTGGTTGAAGGTCTCAGGGCCTCCGTCGGTGTTAGCATGCATCCGCTGTTTCCCGTCAGGAGCGAGGGGTACTTGGATTATTTTATCCTTTTTCATGCAACTTCGTTTCTCCTGGAGTCAGTGATTGCCTCGTCGATGTGTTTTCTGCATGCATATCGCTAAGCTTTCAGATTCTTTGCCAGGACTGATAGATCCTTTTGAAAGCAGGGTCCTGTGTACGAGGCCGTCAGCTGGTCCCTGCTGTCCTGGGGATGTCCTTCCAGCTCTTCCTAGCCACATCCCTCTGCCTCACGGGTCTCCAGGCCTGTCGTGCAGCGTGGCCTTCTCACCTCACCCCTGTGTCAGAGCTTCTGAACCCTGGTGTATCTGGACACTTCCTTTTGCCCCCTGTCACGGTACCACGGACACACCGGCCTAGAACTGGCCTGACCCGCAGACCTGCAGTCTGGGCGGGCTCAGCCGGGCCCCGGGCGTTGGGTTCAAATCAAGGTGTGGCTGGTCTGCGTTCCTCCAGGGAGGCTCTGGGGAAGGCTTTGCTTCCACATCCTTCAGGCGGTTGGCCGTGCGTATGGCTAAAGGACTGGGCCCCGTTTCCTTCCTCGGTCAGCCCAGGTTGGGGGCTCTCGGCGCATGGGGCCGGCCACTCTTCTGCATCTCTGGAACCAGCAACAGAATTGCTCACGTGTTGATCTCCGGCCAGAAAGAGCCCCGTCCTTTTTCAGGCCTTACCCGCTTAGGTCAGGCCTCCCAAGGTGGGTCATTACTTTTGCTTCAGGTTGACTGTGCCACAGTGTGACCTCACCGCAGGGAGCGGCCATCCTGCTCATGGGCTCTGGCATCGTGTAGGCATCATTGCCAGGAGTGGGCTCTTAGGGCCCTCTTTGAGCTCTACCTGCAGGATCTGGTGTCTTGCTGTTGACTGTCCCTTGGTCTGGTGGCTCCTGGCTTCCTCCGGCCTCTAGAAAGGACAGGGAATCTTGAGGCCCCTGCACTGCAGCGTCGAGGGGCTGCTGGGGAGGGCCGTGGTCCCCGTTCCCAGGGTGGCCACGTGGCCGGCACTGGTCGGGCCTGACTCGTCTCCTTTGCGTGCTCTGTTCGTCCGGGGTGTCTCCGCGGGTGGGGAGGCTGTGGAGGGCCCTGGGGCTTCACGACTTCGGCCTCTGCTGCGCGTGGCATGCGGCGTCTGGAGACCGTGTGTTTTTGTTCTGGAAATTTTCCCGGGTTGTTTTCGGAGAATGCCCTCCCCTCATTTTCTCTTCCCTCTTTCTGGAGTTGCTGTTGGTTGGATGCTGGACCTGCCTTCAGGGCAATTTCCTGGACATGGTCCTCTGCCTGCTGCGGCCTGTTGATCTGGTGGTGACAGTTTGCATCTCTAGTGGGGACGTGGCCTCTGGTGGTAGCACCCCGTCTCTCTGACGGTTTCCTTCGTGCAGTCCTCTTCTCTGCTTCTCTCTTCCATGTTTCTCTCCTTTTCCCCTTCTTGTCTTGATCCCTGTCTTTTGTGGTGGGGGCTTCCCACCCACCCCCAGCCCTCCTGGGCCGCCTTCCCAGTAAGAGGCATGGGGGGGTTCACCGGCTGCTCTCTGTGCCCGGTGGGGTGTACCTGCCGCCGGGCTTCCCTGTGGGGCAGACCCAGCCCTGGGCTCCCCCTCCTCACAGCAGGAGGTCTCCTGCTTCATGTCCCTGCCAGGGTGGGGGCTGGTGCTGGGACTCATTGGCGGGGATTAGCATGGTACCGCCTTTTCTTGCTGCTGAGCCCAGGCTCCCTGGCTCAGGGCTCCCCAAGTCTGTTCCCCCAGGCATTTGCAGGGTGGTGGAGGAGCCCTGTTCTCGGGTCCCGCTGCTCACTCCAAGCCCGGTGGGCTTCCTTCGGGCTGTGGTGCTGGCCTGGAGTTGGCTGGGCCTTGTTTCTGGTTTCTGGTCAGGCTTCTCTGTGTGCTCTGCTGAGCCCTGTTTCTGTCTGGGTAGATGGTCTGCATTTCTCCCATTCTCGGTCTCGGAGTCCTCACAGTCCAGTCCGGACATGCTGCTGCGAGGGCTTCCGGAAGCAGGCGGGGTGCGTGCGTGCTCCTGGCCCCGCACAGCCACAGCTCACGCGAGATGCTCTCTCTGTGGCCGCAGGGGACCGTTGCGTCTTCTCTCCGGCCCTGCCACCCTCTGGCACGACAGGCAGGAATTGTGTCCCTAGTGAGCACCGAACCCACAGGGACCCTCTGCTGCCCATGAGAGTGCTTCTCTCCCTGTGTGTTCAGCTCACGTGGCCTTGCCTGTCAAGGTTCTTGTACTCATTTCTGACTTTCTAATTCCTCTTCTCTGCAGAAGAAACAAGAGCAGAAAGCCCCAGACAGAGAGGCTATCTACCGAGCCACCGCCAACGTGCCGTCCCACAACATGGACCGGGCCGAGGTCCAGACCAACATCAGGGACGTGAGTGCTCACTGTGGGCTGCACTGCGGGCCCGTCACGCCTGCGTGGGGGCTGCACGGCTTCTCAGCCGTGCTTTGGGAAGCCGGGGGAAAGGGCGGGTATAACCGAAAATTATTCCAAAACAGAAGGTTTGAAAAGACATCAGAAGGCAGGACCAAGACTGATCCCACTGGGAGAATATTAGGGTTTTGCTCTAATTTGCCAAAAATTTGTAGCTGGAAGTCTGGACTCTTAGTTACTTTGGGTTGGAAAGTTCTAGGCTAAATACACTGTGTGTCCAGTGCCCTGTGGACCGTCTGAGAACTGGGGTATGCCCACGCCGCGCAGGACTGGGACGGCACGGCCATCTCGTCCGAGAGCACCACCATGAGCCCTGCTCGCTGGAGCAACAGAGGGTTCCCTGCCAAGCAGGGCGTCCGGCTCTGACCACGTCCCGGGCTGCGTGCGGGATTGCCCCAGCAGTGGCTCTCATAGGCTGTCTGAGGCCTGTTGTGGGAAAGAGGGGCAGCTGATCCCCGTCTCGCCGGTGGTGCTGGGACCGTCTGTCGGGGTTTCTGAATGCGTTCCCAGTGGCCGGCTGGCTGCCGCCGATGCTGCTGTGCCGGCCGGCTTCTGGCCGGGTGAGAATCGGAGGCCCGGTTCTGGGAAGCCCATCCAGTCAGGCTGATCTCTTCTGCTTACGTAGCGGGCTCGTGCTTTCCACGTTGGCCAGAGGGCTGGGCCGTGTCTCCAGATGTTTCTCTGTGTCGCCGCCAGCTGAGAAGCCGTGCGCACAACCCGTCTGTGCCAGCGAGGCCGCTCCTCCCCGCCAGGCACACAGCCCTCCCGCCACTCTGTGGCCTCACCCACCTCCTCTCCGTCCGTCTCCACGCTCTGGAACCGATAGCGGCGTGGTTGGGACGCCCAGATACGGAGTTGTAGGCCCAGGAGTGTGGTCACCCATCCGGGCAGGTCTCTGGGGCACTTGGAGAAGTCAGAGTCTCTTTTTCTTTCCCCGCAGTTCCAGACAGAACTCCGGAAGATCCTGGTGTCGCTCATCGAGGTGGCGCAGAAGTTATTGGCGCTGAACCCGGACGCGGTTGAACTATTTAAGAAGGCGAATGGTATGAGCGCGCCCCGGGGGACTGGATCCTGCGTTCAGACCCCACCGCGTGCCCCCACCTCAGAGGCTCTGTCAGCCCCCCACGGTCCCCGTTCGCACTCCTCATGGTCCCCGCGTCAGTGCTGGGAACACCAGCTCTGTTTGCGCTTCCCGTGGCCGCGGGGCTCCTGCTCCGCCTGCCGGCCGAGGGCTCCGTGTCCACGTGCTGCGTTTGAGGAGGGGGTTAGCCTGCAGGTGGGCCCTCGGGCTCCTGGCTGGGGGGCAGCCCGCGCACTGGCCTGGCCCTCACAGGTGGCCCCGTCTCTCGCCCGCAGCAATGCTGGACGAGGAGGAGGATGGCAGAGTGGACGAGGCCGCCCTGCGGCAGCTCACGGAGATGGGCTTCCCGGAGACCAGGGCCGCCAAGGCCCTTCGGCTGAACCAGTACGTCCGGGCCGCCTCCTTCCCTTGCTGCCGATGCTGTGGGGCTCCCCTGGGGTGGCTTTCTCTGTCCCCGAGTCTTAGGTTGAACCGTGTACAGTAGATGTGAGTTTTTAACGCGAGACATTTCGGTGCGTGTCCCAGGAGTGACTCGGTGGGGCGTCTCAGGACAGTGGCCCTTGCCGGGAACGTGCTGTGGGTAGGCTGAACTGCGGTCCTCCCCGGGGCCGTTGTAGGCACCACGTGGGAGCTTGCATGTGTCAGGGACGTGGCGGCTGGTGGTGCGTGCGGTGTCCCCCCTAGCAGCCCCCCAGGCTCGCCGGGCTGCAGCCGCTCGCTTCCGCGCCTACACTTGGACCCAAAGCGCACAACTTGTACTCCAGAGGACAGTCCGCGGGCTCTGCTCCTTTTTGCCTTGGGCCTTGGTTCTCATGTGTATCTCACGGGTTTGTTCTCCGGGCTTAGTGCTTGGGTTTCTGTGCTCTGGCCGGGGTCTTGGGGTCGTTTGGGGCAGGGCCCAGAGCTCCAGACCCTTCTGTACTGAGATGCCTGACGAGGGCTACCAGAGAGGCTTTCCCTGGGGATGTCAGGGAGGCTCAAGGCCCTCTGACCGGCCTGGGGGTGCTGGAAAGAGTCTCCTGTTGCCTTTCAGCATGTCGGTACCTCAGGCCATGGAGTGGCTGATCGAGCACGCGGAAGACCCGACTGTTGACACGCCTCTCCCAGGCCAGGCCTTGCCGGAAGGGGCACAGGCCGAGGCTGCCCCCGAGGCCGCCCCAGAGGCTTCTGGGACGAGCACGGGAGACGAGGAGCCCAGAGATGAGCTAACGGAGATCTTCAAGAAGATCCGGAGGAAAAGGGAGTTTCGGGCTGACTCTCGGGTATGTGTCCCGGGGCCAGGGGCGGCCAGGTGGGGTTGCCTTTCCTCCACATGGGAGTGGAGCTCAGTGAGGGGCTCGTAGACGGGCCCAAATTCAGTTTTAAGTTGTCCCCACATGGATCCTGGTGGGTGTTTCTTCTCCAAGTAATTTGCCGAGATGTTTGTCATCTCCTCAAAGCTACAACAGGGTTTCGTTTATGTTGTCGCTATTGGCGAGCTACGGGCTTGGGCCAGGACGCTGCCCAGAGGTGGGAGGATGGGGCGCTGCAGGGTTGCCTGTGGGCGGGGAGGCTGGGCAGCCTCCGGCCATCTGGGAGCCGTGGCGTCTGCAGGATCAAAGGTCCCGGGGCCCGCCCAGCGCTGGCCATACTTGGGGACGACATTGCCGTGGGTTCAGGCTGCTCCTTTGCCGTCGTCCCGTTCTTAACGCTCTCGTGGCTGCTGTTCTGTGCTCCGCTGCTCTGCTCCTCCGCTGGGCTTTTGGTTTCCTCTGGGGCGCTTCTGGTGCTTTGAGCCTGCGTTTTTCTTTCTGGTTACAGATCCGTGAGCTCCAGCTGTTAGGGCTCAGTCCACACGTCTGCTTCTGCGGGGGCCCCGTGCTGTCTGGGCGGGCTCACCTGCAGGCTTGTGTTTCCGGGGACTCCCAGGTGGCCGGGCTGTGGGCCGCCCGCCACGGGTGGTTCTGAGGCTGTTTCCCTGCCAGGGGCCCGCTTCTGTGTTAGCCACGAAGGCAGGGCTCCCGGGCCACCGTGCGGTACAGCCGCGGCTTGGGGGGTGTAGGACCTCCCTCGTGGGGTCCTGGTCTTGAGCTCCAGCTGCTCACCGTGTAGGGCCCCATGGCCCACGTCCTGTCCCCCAGGCCACGCTGACGGCTCCTGCGGCCTTCCACGGCAGCCCCGCTGTCCCGTGAGTTTGGTGCTCTTCGTGGCTTTCCGGCGAGCCCAGCTGTGCGTCCAGTGGCGTTTCTGCTGAGCGGGAGCTGGTGTTTCTGGAGCCCGGGGGGCATGCTGGGCCCAGCCCTATAGGACGGGCAGCCGCGCTCTTGGGGGCGGTTTGTGCTCTGCCTCGGGGCTCTGGGCATACCCTGAGGGCGCTTCTGTGTCGTCCTCGTCCGGCTCGCCAGCCTAGCCCTGGCATGTGGGGACCACCGCTGCTGTCTCGACGTGCCCTTCTCCTGAGACGTGCGCTTCTCCTGGGCCTTCCTGTGGCCTCTTGGAGGTAGACGTTCTGTGACTACTGTTAGGAGGGGCTGTCGAGGCTCGTCCAGCCTCTGGTCCTACACCATTGGAGAGAAGAGTCTGGAAGGTCGGCGGCGCTCACGTGCTTCCCGGGAAGTCTGGGTCCAGAGCGGGGCTTGCGCTTGAGACCGAAACAGACTTTTTGCTGTTGTGCCCCCACCATCCCCCATGCCAGCTACAGGGGTGGGGGCAGCCAAGTGCAGTGGGCATGGTAGGAGTGAGTGCCCAGACCCCTGGCAGGAAGGCAGGGTGCGTCCCTGTGGTCACTGTGCACAAGTCCTGGGCCATTGCTTCCCGGGCTGAGGCAGGGGTGAGTGAGGGGAGAGGCTCGCTTTTATGGGTGGCCACAGGGAGGCCACCCCGTCCTTGGATTTAGTGGGGGGCTCTGGGTGAGCTTATGTGACTTGGGAGTCAGACTATGGCGTGGTGGGTCCTTCATCCTGCTTTCGGGGGTGGAGCCCCCCGGGGGTGGAGCCGGTGCAGGAAAGCACGGGACGGGGGCTGTGTTGGGAGAGGCTGCCAGCTCAGCTCGCCGTCGACCGTGTGGCTCCAGGGAAGGTCAGTCCTGACTGCCATGTGCAGCTGACGTCCTTCTGTCGGGTGCTCTTTGGGACACTTGATGGTCTAGTTCCGGCTGAGCCCGGCCCACAGAGGGTGGCACAGGGGGGCTCTTCAGGTTGCTGCCCAGCGCTGCCGCCCAGGTGCCTGGCAGAAGTAGAGCTGTGACCGGGACCTCACAAGAGCATGCTTTGATCTTTAAAGAATTAACCTGGGGCGCCTGGGTGGCTCAGTGGGTTAAAGCCTCTGCCTTCGGCTCAGGTCATGATCTCAGGGTCCTGGGATCGAGCCCCGCATCGGGCTCTCTGCTCAGTGGGGAACCTGCTTCCCCCTCTCTCTCTGCCTGCCTCTCTGCCTGCTTGTGATCTCTGTCTGTCAAATAAATAAATAAAATCTTTAAAAAAGAAAAAAAGAATTAACTTGATAAAATCTTCACCTTCCCCCCCCCCAAAGTGGACTCTTCCAAAAATTGTGTGAAAATCAAGAATAGGGACTCCTGGGTGGTTCCGTTGGTTGGGCGTCTGCATTAGGCTCAGGTTGTGATCCTGGGGTCCCGAGATGGTGTTCTGGGTGGGCTCCCTGCTCAGCGGGGAGTCTACTCCTCCCCCCACTCGTGCTTGCGTGCTCTCTTGGAAATTAGTAATAAAAAAGATAAAAAGTCAAGAGTAAGGTGAAGGCCCTAGTGTCGTACGTGATTTTTGTCATGAAAATGTACGTCCCCCCACCTCCCAATGACCTTGGGTTGTTCCCTCTAAGAATCACCAGATGTTCGAGATACAGCTTCTGTCTTAATACACGTGAGATGTTTAAAACTAATTTTAGTGTCAATTTTTAAAGATAAAATCTGAAGAATTCCCCCTCCCACCTTTTTTCTTCACAAATGAATATTAACGTGGCCATTTTGGTCTTCACTTAGATCGGGTTTGCTTACACGGCCTCTTCCTAATACCTTTTATTCTGGGTCGCGAGGCCGTCCACTGCGAGCTCCCGTGTGGTCGTGGAGACCGCGGGGACCAGCCTGCGAGGGTCGGACGTGGGCGTGGCCGGCCCGCGCGGCCGTGGGAGGCAGGCTCCGGGCACGTCTGCGGCTGCGCGGACTCGGGCTGGCCGTGGTCCGTGCGTCGCTCAGGAGCCTCGAGCGATCGGTGAAGCCGCAGGGAACCACATGCGTGCCCCAGAACGTCCTGTGCCGACCTCGTCGGCCCCCCGCGAGCATGCCGTGGTGAGACGTGGCCCCCGCGGGTTTGAGCGGTCTGTGCCCTCCCCTGCAGGCGGTCGTTGCGCTGATGGAGATGGGCTTCGACGAGAAGGAAGTGATGGACGCCCTCCGAGTGAACAACAACCAGCAGAATGCCGCTGTGAGTACCGCCGTCGGGCGCCCGGACGCCGCCTCGCCCTCGCGGGGGGCGCGGCCCGGGACCGTGTGCGTCTGGCTCCTCCCACGGCCACCTGTTGTTTGATTCCCCCGCAAAACGAGGGGAGAGGGTCCGAGGGCGTAGTTCTTTGTCTTTCGGAGAGAGCACGCGCTTGGCAGGCCGGTGTGTGTGTGCGCTGTTCGCTGAGCTTGTTGACGTGACCCCGCGGCGGACCCCGCTCTGCGACACGCACCAGCGGCTGGCGGACCGCGGGCCGAGGGGGTGGGGGGGGGTGTGTGCGTGGTGGCCGGCAGGGGGCGCTGCGCTCTGGGGACTCAGGCGCCCCGGCTGCCCGCCAGCCAGCTCCAGGCGGGCGCAGCCCGGGGTTCCGTGCATTTCTTCCGCCTCCCCCCACTACTCTGGCTGGGTCCTGCCTCATCCCCCTTCCGCGACCAAGGACCGAGAGGTCGCCGCTGTTTGCCTGCGCTGCGGAGTGGGGGTCGGCTAGACCGGTGTGGCTCTTCCTTCCCAATGTCAGAGCCCCCGGTCTGCGGGCAGCTGGTGCTGTGGGGGGTCAGGAGGGGCTCACGGGCCGGCTCTTGCATTCGCAGTGCGAGTGGCTGCTGGGAGACCGGAAGCCGTCCCCCGAGGAGCTGGACAAGGGCATCGACCCCGACAGCCCTCTCTTCCAAGCCATTCTGGATAACCCGGTGGTGCAGCTGGGCCTGACCAACCCAAAAACGTTACTAGGTACGTGGCCTTCCCTAGCCCGGGCCTGTCGCACCCCACAGATGTCACCAAGTGATGGGGGTCTCCGCCAGTGTCCGTGACTCCTGCCCGAGTCACTGGGGCCAGCGCTCGGGCTCTGCCCGCAGGCGGTTCTGTGCGGGGGCCTCGGACGAGCTCTCGAACCAGTCAGGGTGGCTTGTCCAGACGCGGGCAAGCGTGGACAGCACCCCTAGGCTGGACCAGGTGGGCGGGAGGCGTTTGCCTCGGCCTTTATGCGGGTGAGGGACTTCTCTGGCCCCGTTTTGTCTGTGGAACATAACGTGTGTGCAGAAGCGTGTGGGATTTTCCTGACTTAAAGTAAGACTAACAGCCACACATCTGCGTTCAGCTTCAGAAGGCGGAGTTAAAGGGGCGTCTGCCTTTGGCTTGGGTCGTGATCTCGGGGTCCTGGGAGTCCCGCGTCAGGCGCTATGCTCAGCGCGCCGTGTGGCTCTCCCTCTCCTGCCTGCTGCTCCGCCAGCTTGTGCTCTGACAGATAAATAAGATCTTTAGAAAAAATTTTAAAAACACGCAGTATTAAAAAAAAGTCTGGAGTGTTCCAGGCCCCGTGGGTCCTCTGGGCGCCTCCCGTACTGCACCCCTGTCCCCCCAGCACTGAGAGTTAGCCTTTGTCATCGCTCGGGCTCCTAGGAGGCGGTGCCGCCTATGTCTGTCCCCAGATCTCTGTCCCCAGAGCCCCGTCCCCTTGCGTCTGCCTTCCTGGCAGGGTGGGTCCCGGGCAGGCCTCTGCGTCCCAGCGTGACTGTGTCATGGAGAGTGATGAGCCACGGGGCATGTCCCCACTCTTCTGTCCCCAGGCCAGGTGTGTGTGGGTGGGGCTGCAGGGGTGCGCCAGGCCCTGTGCACAGCCTGTGGGTCCCCGAGGACGCTTGGTGAGAGCGCCCACAGCCCAGGCGGGCACAGCTGTGAGCTTGGCCCTTTCCCACAGCTGTGAGGCCCAGCCTGTTCCGGGAGCCATGCTAGGACCTCAGCTCTGAAAGGCCCGTCCTGGGTGTCGTTCTCTGGAGCATTTTTTGATGCAGCCACAAAGCCCCTCGTGTCTGCTGGACACTGGCCCTTTATCAGTTCATTTGTATCTTGAATGTTGTTCTCCTGTTCCTGGGGTTTCTGCTGCGTCATGGGGACGCATTTAAACGTAGTTGGATCTGTGTGTTTCATCCGGGAAAACGGTCTGGCTTCGAGGTGAGGAAGATACTCTTATTTCTAGAAGTTGTCGGTTTTGCTTTCCTTCTCTAAGTCGGTCATCTACCTGGGAGTGTGTTCGGTGCGGGCTGGGGAGGCTGCCTGTGGGTCCCCAAGTTCTGGGCTTTGGTGGCGCGTGTGTATGCGCATTTTCCTTCTCTGTGCGGGACGTGTGGGCGCCTCGCTGGGTTCCCCGGCTCCCCTGCTGCTTATGGGGCCAACGGGAAGAAGGAAGGCGCTGTCTTGGGTGGGTCCACACCCTCTTCTGAAGGGTTTTTTTCTAATGCTTGCCTCCGAGACTGTCCTCTGCTCCCGGCTGGTTTTGTCTTTTCTCGGAGGGTTCCCTCACGACGGACGTGGGGTTTCACTGAACGTCTTTGCCCTCTGCTGGGACCGTCCTGCAGTGTCACGTTTGCTCACGGGGAGCCTCTCCTCAGGTTTCTGAAACAAGGGGGCAGGGTAGGTGCCACCTGGCTGCGGCCCATGGACGGCTTTGGGGGCCCCAAACTGCCCAGCACAGGGGGGCCGCGTGTGTTGTGCCCCGGGCACTCTGCCTGCCCCAGGACAGCCTCCCCCGGCCACTGGGCCCCCACGCCACCGGGGCACAGGCTCGTGCGCACACCTTCCTGACAAGAGAGTTGAAGATGACCGTGATCGCTACAGATGAGCTGAAGCGCTGGCCGTAGTCCACCTGGGACGAGCTGGAGAGCGTGCAGAAGCTGGCGGACATCTCCTCTGCCCCCCGCAGCTGCCCCGTTGCTGGCTTTCCTTCCGAAGTACTGGCAGGCCCACGTGCCATCCCGGTTTACCCCGCGTCCTGCCGGCGCACCCTCGTGCTGCACGTTCTGGCTTCGCTGTTTTATTATTTTCATAGATTAATTCATTTTAGAGAGACACAGGGAGCGTGTGTGCAGGTGGAGGCAAAGGGGAGAGAATCCTGAGTGGGTTTCCCGCTAAGCACAGAGCCGGACGTGGGGCTCGATCTCATGAGCCCGAGATCATGACCTGAGCCGCCGGAGTCGGATGCTTCCCTGATTGCATCCCCAGGCAGCCCTTGGCTTTGCTGTTGTACACAGAGGAGTTTAGCCAATGCTGGTCCTTGATTCTGTGCAGAGAGGCCTTGGGTGGTGAAGCACGCGCTGTCTCCCTCCCCCCCCGCCCCCGTTCCTGCCATGGCTCCTCCCCTTGTGGCCGTGGGCCGGCCGCCCTCCTCTGTACCTCCTGCTTTGGGGGCAGCTCGTGCTCCGGAGGGCGGCATGACTGGCTCGGGGCCGCGGGCCCCGCGGGTGGCTGGTGTGCCCCCACCTGCTCTCGTCCCCTCCTGCGTGTGCCAGCCTTGTGTCCCCATGCGCCCTGGAGCGTCCGCTGCTCCCGCTGCGGCCTCGGCCTCCGAGCTCGGCCTGGAGGTCTTTGCGTGTCGACGCCTGTCCTTCGTCATATGTGCGGACTTGGTCGGCCTTTGGTTCTGAGTAATTGTCTTCCTGAAATTCTCGAGTGTGAGGCCTGCGAAGACCGAGCTCCCCAAACAGCCTGTCGGGTGGTGTCCCACAGTCGGCCCGCCTCACGCTTTTGTTCGGCCCTTGGCTCCCAGGAGGAAGGCGGACGTGGGCTCCTCCACTCTCTGGACCCCCGCGTTCTTTCTCGTTCTCCCGGATGCCCAGGTGTCCTTTGGGTTCTCTGATACCTTGTCCTGGTTTTCAGAGGCTTTTGATCGGGACGGTCCGCGGGGATTGTTTTGAGGGCTAGGAGGGCTGTCAGTCCGAAACGCGAGGGAAGCGCCCTTTCCCGTGGAGGCGCAGGTCCTGGAGGAAGCAGCCCCCGTGCCCTGTGCGTGGGGGACGGCTGCGTGCTAGCCGTATGCGAGGGCCGCTCACGCCGCTGTCTCTGGGGGAGACGCTTTTGTGGAACTGCCGAGATGGTTTGTTTCTTGCTGTGGAATTGCTCAGTCACGTGTTTATTTTGTGTTTGCTTCCTGATTCGTTTATTAAGATTTTACTTTGAAGTCGTCTCCAGGGTGCCTGGATGGCTCAGTGGGTTAAGCCTCTGCCTTCAGCTCAGGTCATGGTCTCGGGTCCTGGGATCGAGCCCCGCATCGGGCTCTCTGCTCAGCAGGGAGCCTGCTTCCCCCTCTCTCTGCCTGTCTCTCTGCCTGCTTGTGATCTCTGTCAAATAAACTTACCAAAAAAAAAAAAAAAAATGAAGTCGTTTCCACACCAAACATGGGGCGCAGACTCAGTGACCCTGAGGTCACGAGTCACCTGTTCTGCCCACTGAGCCAGCCGGGAGCTCCTCAGTTATGTATTTTCAAGTCCTTTCTTTAAGACAGAACATTCTGATTTCCCGTCAGATAGTGTTAACTTGGCAGTGGTGTCCCCCTGTCTTTTCTGCATCTGGGACTTTGCCTGGTGGGTTTGGAAGCGGAACGACCGACTCACAGGCTGTGACTGTGTCAAGATCGCTGGTAGCCGCGGCCAGGTTGCTGTCCGGCGTCGGCAGGCCGGCGAGTACAGGGGCTGTCCCTGCCACCCGGGACCAGGCTCGTGGTCTTTCCACGGCGGGTACATGCGTGGGACAGTAGATGCTGCTGGGGGCGGCAGGGGCTTGCGGGTGGCCCCCAGCGACACGAGGCCCGCCCTCCGGGACAGCACGGCCAGGCTCTTGGGTGCGGAGGGGCCGTCTCCGCCGGCATCACTGTGTCTTCCCGCAGCGTTCGAAGACATGTTGGAAAACCCGCTCAACAGCAGCCAGTGGATGAATGACGCAGAGACGGGGCCGGTCGTGCTGCAGATCTCCCGGATCTTCCAGACCCTGAACCGCGCGTAGGCCACACGGCCGCCCCGCCCTGCTGCCCTGCGCCTGTCCCGGGAGCTCGGGCTGGCTGCAGCCGCACCCCCCCCCCCCCCCCCCCCCCCTCGCCGGGTGACAGAGAGCGTGGGGACCCCTGGCGGCCATGGGCTGGGTGTCGGCGCGGGGCTCCTGGCACGCTTTGATCTTCGCTTGAAAACCTGTGTGATGGCCGCATGCGCGGCCACGTCCAGCCTCTGACCATGTGTATAGACGCGGCGCTGCTCGGGGGGGGAGGCTGCCTCCCCTGTCAGGGCCCCTGCGGGCTCTGGAAGTGCTCCTTGACCCGACCTGTAGCTGCTGCTTGTTCTTTGGAAGAAGGCATGTTTCCACCCAAAAGTGTTAACGTCAGTACTAACTTAAGTAGAGGAATTCACAGATGATTTTTCTTTTAATAAATAAATTCCCTTTTTCCTATCGTCTGTGTTCGTGTCATTTCAGTGCCAGAGAAGAACCTGTTGGCGCTCTTGACAGTGCGCTGGGCCCTGCCGCCCGGCTCGTGGGCTCTCCCGCTCGTGGACTGTGGACGCAGTGCAGGTTCGGGCGTGCTCTGGGGGACTCTGCTGTCGGGGGGCCGGCCGGGCGCCCCCCAGGCCACCCTTGGCCCAACCGGGGCACCAGCCGTCGGCCTCTGCCACCGTTCCCTTTTTAAACATTACTTGGGGGTGCTTGGGTGGCTCCGTCGGTGGAGCGCCGGGCTCCTGACTTTGGCTCAGGTCGTGATCTCAGGGTCCTGGAGTGAAGCGCCCCCCCCCCCACGCCCCCTCCCCCAGTGTGGACTCTGCACTCAGCGGGAAGTCGGCTAGAGATCTCTCCCTCTTCCTCTGCCCTCCCCCCACTCACATGCTCTCTCGTGCTCTCACTCTAAAATAATCAAATATTTTTATTTTTACTTATTTTTTTAAAGATTTCATTTATTTATTTGACAGAGCAAGATAGCACAAACGGGGAGCAGTAGACAGAGAGGGAGAAGCAGGCTTCCCGCCGAGCAGGGAGCCCAATGCGGGGCTCGATCCCAGGACACTGAGGTCATGACCTGAGCCAAAGGCAGACGCTTAACCCACTGAGCCACCCAGGCGCCCCGGAAGATAAATCTTTAAAAAAAAAAAATTGTTCGTGTTGCAAGATGAGAAAATAGGTTGTAGCTTTCCTTTTTTTCCACCTCTGCTCGTTCGTCGTCACTTACAGCACGTCTCAGAGGCTTCTCTGGACTTCTCCGCCGAAGTCCCGGCCTGCAGCCCAGCTTGGCGGCCCCGCTGTGGGCCTCGTGGACCGGTGCAGGCCGGGGCCGCCGCGCTGCCGGGGCGCCTCGGCCCAGCTCCCTCCCCGTGTCAGCAGGCAGCGGTGTTCTAAGAAACTGTTCCCCGCAGATCTGCGTGTTCTCGTTCTTCTCTGTGTTCAGACTCTGCACACGAGGAGTGAAAGTCCGTTTTGAAGGTCGGGAATCAGACGGTCTCCACCATTCGTTCCCGCGGCTGTCCGGACAGAGGGCCGGGGACGGGCTCTGCACTCTTACTAGGTGTCGCATCTTGTCTTTCAAACGGCCGACTGCAGACGGCTCTTAGGCTTCGTCTCTGTTTTCTTTGGCGCTCTGCGGGGTGTCCCCGTGCCCGGTGAGAGCTGGGTGGGCCGTGCGTTTCTCGGACTTCACGGGACCGGCCGACGGCAGAGTCCCGGGGGCTGGCCCCAGTGCGTGCCCCCAGCAGCTGTGTCAGGGTGGGCGTGGGTACACCGCCTCACTGGGGGCCTTGGGCTCTCCGAGCGCACTTTCTCCGCCACCGCTCCAGAGTTCCTTCAGGAAGAAGAGTGCGTCCGTAGCCGGCTTAGAGCCTGCCCTCGGACCACCGGAGCCCCCCGAGCCAGGAGCTGGGGGTGAAGACATCTGGTGCCGTGACGCAGCCGGACGGCCAGCCCTCCCCCAGACACCATTCCCGCGTCATTTCCTGGAGACGGTTTCAGGTCGGGAGACAGTGAGGCGTTGGGTGCCATCTCTCAGGAAGCCATGGGCCTGCCTGGCTCTGGTTCCTATGAGGCTTCTCTCCCTGTTTGGGGGTCTGTGCCGTGGCCCCCGTGGCAGCGGTCCATCGGAGGTGTGCGTGGGCGGCTGCATCCCGTGTGACTGATGAGAACCTGCAGTGACGCTGGCGTCCAGGGCCTGCCCCTCCACCTGCAGGACGACCTCGTGGTGCGTGCCTGGTGTGTGCACGTGGTGTCTGTGGCTTCCTGTGCAGCCCTGGGGCTGCCTCAGCGAGGGGCCCTAGGAGCCGGCCTGCAGCCCTTTCTCACTGTGGTCCGTCTTCGTGGGAGCCGCACACCGCAGCTTGGTGGGTGGGAAGGGTGGCTGAGCTGAGGCCCATCGTTCAGGGTACGGCTGGAGGTAGATTTCTGTCCAAGGTGAGCCGTGGCCGGTTACGTCCCCCTCCTGTCCCTGGGCAGCCACGCGGCTGCTGAGAGCTCGCCGCCAGCTGGATTCCTGCCTCCGTGACAAATCCCGAGGATAGCTGCTGTACTGTCTGCAGTGAGATTTGGAGAAGATATGATGGAATCACTTGCTTGGTTTGGGAAGGAAAATGAGAGGTAAAGACAGCGGTTTGAACCAGACGTGCACTAGACTCCCGGGCAGGGCCGTTCCTGCCCCTGCGGGTTGTCACTCTTGGTGGCCGCGCCCTCAGGACAGCAGACCAAAGCACACGGACATTTGTGACCTAAATCCTAGGGCTCTTGATACTGTTCCAGCTCCCAAGAGCGCAGCATTCTCGTGACGGGCGCAGTTGCCCTGTTCCAGGCGGTTCCCCGAGAACTAAGCGCGAACAGTGGTGTTGCCAGCAGAGCTGGTCTCCAGGCTCAGACGATGCCGCGGGGCCTCAGCCGCGTGTTGCCTGGCGGCCACAGGAAACCATGCACAGGGGGACAAGGCGGAGGGGATGAGGCGCCGCACGTGTGCGACGGGCTCAGGGGTGAGGCTGGAGAGCGGAGGGGCCTGAGCAAGAGCCTACGCGAGCGTGCCGGCTTCTCTCCACCTGCCGGACGCCGGTGTGCCTCCCCCGTCCCGCCCGCCCTCCTCGCGACTCCTTTGTGGGGGCCGTGAAGGGTGCCGATGCCTGTGTTCACATCCCCTGCGCCACATGTCCTCAGCACTCGGCATGTAAACCTGCTTGAGAGGACGTCCCCTGCGCCACATGTCCTCAGCGCTCGGCATGTAAACCTGCCTGAGAGGACTCGCGTTCGAAGCCCGCCTGGGGACCCATGGCGTTTCAGCTTTCCTTCTTTGCTCGGACCAGGAGCGTGGGCGCTGCCCGCCGGTGCTCAGGCTTGGGCCTGCTCCCGCTCTCCTCCGTTCTCATTTGCTGTCCCTCCCGAGTGGTGGCAGATAATGAAGGGCTTGGGTTCACAGGCCATTGGATTGTCCCTTGCAGCGGCCCCCACTGCACACTGTTCCTCTGGGGACTGAGCGGCTATTTCAAGTGAAATGTCCCCAAAGAAGTGAGGAGCGTGTGCTCCAGTCAGCAGAGCAAGGATCTGCGTGGAGTGCACCCCTCCCCGCAGGAGCACAGCTCTCGTGAGTGCCTGGGGTCGTCTGGGCAGGAGTACACCCCAGGTCGAGTGTTCCAGAAGAGGCCGGTGCTGACCACGGTGAGGCGTGCACTCCCAACACGTGGCTGGAACCAGGACCGGCGTGGGGCTCCATGGCCCACACCCGTCCACCCTATTGCCTGTGGCTGACCCGACAGCAGTGCAGCATGAGGCCAGGGCGGCCTGGTGCCAGGAGCCCATGGTGGTCGGAGATGGGCTTTGGGAACGTGTGCATGCCTGGGCTGGTGTACTGGGCTTAGGGAGAGAGCAAAGAGGAGCAGACCAGCATTTCCTGTAGGCGAGGGAGGCACGGCTGTTCTCTCCAGGGCGCAGTGTGTGACATCCCACCCCTGGCATGCAGCAGGTCCTGGATGCGTGATGGGCGACAGGCCAGGGGACAAGATCTGGGACGTGGGGACATAAACCCTGTCTCATGGCCCCAGGTGCTCCCTGAGGCCTGAGTTCAAGGGTGAGGGACAGAGATGTCCAGGATGACCGGTGGTACCGCCGTGTCCCATGTCACCTGCTGTGCAACTCTTGACACACACGGGCAGCTGTTGGGGGCTGAACTTCGGTGAAGGCCTGTTGCTGCCCCTCTCCCCTGGCACCTCAGGTGTGCCTGCGTCGGGAGTCGGGGCTTACAGAGGGGAGCGGGGAAGACAAGGTCACCGGTGGCCCCAGTCTTCCCCTGGCGGTGAGGAGGTGGACACGTGGCGGGCGCAGGCCATGTGGAGATGGGGGTGTGGGCAGGGCTTCTCGCCACGCTTGGGCCAGCAGAGCCTCCCTCTGGGCCCAGCAGGAGCTGGCCTTGGGCAGCAGCTCAGGACCCAGAGACGAGACGAGCTGCTGGACAAGGGCTGGTCTGTGGCCTGTTACGGTGGCCCTGGGACACCCCTGCCCGGTCCACCCCGCGCACAGCCAGCCTGGAGGGCCTGGGGGGGCAGTGCCTGAGGCCGCCTGGGGCTCCATGTGGCAGGAGCGGCTGTGTTCACGACATGCACAAGTGCCTTCTCATGACAAAAATGTGATGTGTTGGAGCGTCTTGTTCCCCGGGCCTTTTGTGACCCCAGTGGCAATTCCTATCATTTCGCGCCTGGCAAGAGCTGAGTCAAAGCCAAGTTTTGGGAACCCAGGCCTCTGTGGTGAAAGGGGGAAAGGGACTCAGTTGTAAATCTCCAAGAGTTGTGTACTTTGCGCTTTTGAAAATGGGGCAGGATGACGTCCGTGGCCTTGACGTGCCCCCTTGCGCGTGGGGGGGCGTCTGCGAGGGTCCTGCTGCTCAGCCGGGCCCCTGCTCCCGGAGGGATGAGGAAGTGCTCGCTTCTGGTTCGCTGGTTACCAGCTGTGCATGGCCAGTCAGGACGGATGGATGGGTGGGGAGAAGCCATCATCAGTCAAGGGCACAGTCAAGGCTCCTGACCCACAGCCCCCTCCCCTGAGCTCCTGGGTTGTGAGGTCCCTCCTGGGTGCCGC